CCCCAAAACCCCAAAACCCCCAGTCTAAATTTCTACCAGAATTTATCAAGATATTTAGAAATCTAAATAAAATCAAGTCTATGATACCTCGAATAATTAATTTGAATAATCAAAATTATAATTTAAGGAAATCACTTTGTCTCATACTGTTTAAGCCTAAACAAGTAGCAGGGCTCATCTTGCATCAATGCGAAGATAGGTTTTCTTTTTAATAGTTCCTTATCTTCAAATTCAAAGTCGATTTAATTGACAATAATTGAAATCAAGCATTTCATCAAACTTTCTGCAAAAGTCTTCCCTAAGCATATTCTTTTACCTCCGAAAAATGGTCCGAAGGAGAAAGAATTTCTTTTTGTTCCAGCTGGTGTCAGATAGTATGGATTCAATGGATCAAATCTTTCTGGGATAAATTGATCAGGCTAAATCCATTCTTTAGGGTTATTTTATAGAGCATAGATGTTGATTTGCCATGGAGTCTCAGAAAGAATAGAAATGCCGCCAATTTAAATATTTTCTGTGAACACATGATTAGTCGTTACCCTAGATGAAGGATCAATTCTCATTGTTTCATTAACACAGTAGTTAAGATAGTTGCACATATTCAAGTTTTCGTATGTCAAAAGATCAGCCCATTATAAATCAGTCAAGGAAGATATTGTTTCATCAACTTTTAGAACTTTTTTGAATTCATCTCTGACCTTTTTGAATGCTTCTTGATTTTTTGTGAGATAAAAAATAGCATTTGTCATTACGATAGATGTGGTTACATTGGAAGCAGTCATAAATCCCACGACTTCATCTATTATATCCTTATCCTTTTCAAAATATGAGTCTTAGAGAATAAGAGTAAGGAAGTCTCCTTATGATTGGAAGTCAGGTTTCTCAATTTCTTTTCTTCTTTCATCAATAAGTCTAATTGTGAATTCTCTTAGATATTTAGCATTTTCAAAGTCTTCTCTTTCCTATTTATTAAGTGCAGCAAAGTCAAAAACATCTGTAAACTGCCTAAATAAACTTGCATACCTTGAGAAAATTTTCTCAGATAAAAGCCTAATGAATCTACCTAGAGATACTATACTTTCTTGGCCATTTTTTTTGAAAATTAGCTATTTTTTAAGAGAAATCTATCCAAAAATACATATTTAAACTACATCATCAATGAGTTCATTCATTTCTTTTGTCAAATTAACCACTTATTTGTCTTTTTAAATCAGATTTTTCCAGACTTTTACTCTTTGATTAGCAATTGAAACAGCTCCTCTTAAGATTAGATTGATTTTATCTTTGTAAAAAGCTGCTGAGAGATGTTTTCTCTTTGTAGCCCAAACTTCATTAGATTTTGACAAAAAACTTGAGTCGCCAAATACCTTATAAAAAAGTCTTTAAAATTTGCTATCTTTGTCAATGTACTTTGATTTGATAGTGTAAATTTCTTCAACATAATTAGGATCAGAGAAAACAATACCTCCATTTGGGGCTCTATGATCACTAAATACAGGTGGTAATATCTCTCCGAAGCAATCATGCCAGTAATCTTCTAAAACTGTCTTACTGTAAGGACCAAGGTTATCTAATGCTTTTTTCACTTCAATCAAGTTGCCAATAAAAGGAAGTGGGAAAGGAGTCGAAGGAATTCCTTATCTCCTGTAAAACCAGTAATAGTAGTAAAATTTAAACACCTTCTCGTAAAAGAGATAAGCCAAACCTAGTATAATGATTGTTTATATAATCATTATTTAATTTATTACAGAAAATCAATAAGTCAAAATTATTTATTAAATTTATCTATCTTCTTTGATTAGAACTTTAATTGGTTTATGGGGTTTTGGGGTTTTGGGGTTTTGGGGTTTTGGGG